CTGAACCCAAAACCTAAAACCCTAAAACCCTAAACCAATAAAGGTCTTCTAACCCCAAACCCTGAAACCTAGACCTTAAACCCTAAACCCAAGGTCTTCTAACCCCAAAGCCTGAACCCAAAGTCTTCTAATCCTAAACCCTGAACCCCAAACCCTATAGACTGTCTAGAGCTAAACCCTAAACCCTAAATCCTAAACCCTAAACCCTTAAACCCTAAACCTAAACCCTTAAACCCTCAACATCCTGGTAGTCCGTAGACTCCCAGTCCTCTAGCCAATGGAACCTAAAGGAAGACCTAGAGTTCGGTTCAGGGTTTGGGGTTTAGGGTTTAGGGTTTAGGGTTCAGGGTTCAGGGTTCAGGGTTCAGGGTTTAGGGTTCAGGGTTTAGGGTTTAGGGTTTAGTGACCTTTTCTGTAGCCTTCGGTTTTGATGCTTTTAGCTTTTTTCTGCGAAGGTTCACATCGGCCGATGTTGCTACTAAGGCGAGTGCCAGCTGAATAGTTTGAGTCTTCCTGCTGTTTGTGCTGTTCTAGCCGTATATGATGGCCAAAAGACGAAAGACGGCAATCGGAATCATGATAATGTCAACAAGAACTTTACGGTTTATCACAGCCATGTCTGATGTCTGCGCCAAAAAACTTGTAAACAACCTAAACCCTAAACCCTAAACCCTAAACCCTAAACCCTAAACCATCAAGAGTCCCCAAGTCAAAAGTGACCGGCAGAGGTTTTTCTCTAGGCCTCCTTGCGTGGCGGAGGTGGGGGACCTCGGAATTCTGCAAGCGGATCTGGATTTAGGGTCCAGGGGCTTAAGGTTTAGGGTTTAGGGTTTATTTAGGGCTTCATGGGTGTACAGATTTACCGTAAGATGACAGGTTCTGGTCTTCAAGTGGCAAGGGGTTCTGAGCTTCGGATGCTTCGCTTCTTTAGCGCTTTGCTTGGGGTCTCAGGGGCCTGGGGATCGCGAATCCTAGAAGCCCAGGCAGGGGTAGAGGGACAGAGATTTCCGCAGTGTTTTCACGTTTGCTTTCGGCAGGAAGTCTCTAAAACGACAAACCTTTCCGAATCTGTGCTACTGGTATCGGAGTTGGAGCGATTGTTGCGAGCCACAGTCCATCTTGCAACCTTTGGCATGTGTTCACGTAGCTGCTGGCAGCTGCGCTTCGGGGTTTAGGGTTTAGGGTTTAGGGCTTGGGGTTTAGGGTTTAAATAGGTTTTAGGGAAGTCTGTGTGAAGACACGGAGAATAGCCCAATGCACTTGCACGAATGGGTCTTTCAAGCATGTAACCTATCCCTCGGCAAACGAACAAGGATCACCCTAGATATATAAACCTGAAACACCAAGACATACCCCTAAACCTTGAACCTGAAACCCTAATTAAACCTTATGCGGAAGGCCAACAAACGATCCCGCTGGACCCTCGAATCATTGTTCTCGCCTGTCACGAGCAAGGCTCCATATGTAGGTTCTAAGGAGCGCTGGGCTGGGCTGGGCTGGGCTGGGCTGGGCTGGGCTGGGCTGGGCTGGGCTGGTTGGGCTCTGGGGTTGGGAGGGACAGAGCCCAACCAGACCCAGCCCCCGGCCCACCAATTCCAGAACCAGATTTCAGAAGGCAACCTGCACCAAACTTTCGCTCAAAACATTTCGGTCAAATCGACACTCAAACCCTTAACAAATTCGATAAATCCGAAACCGTTTAGCGGGGGTTTGGGGAATAAGACCTTCTGGGTTCAAGGCATACCTGCACCCCCAAAGACATACCTTGCAGGATAAGGAACCACAAACAACCACGGCTACCTCAAGGGCATAGTGTTTTGTAATGCTGTAGTGAATGATTTAGTACTATGCTATACAACAAAAAAGTATTATGTTATTTACCTTACCTTACCTTACCTTACCTTACCTTACCTTACCTTACCTTACCTTACATTACATTACATTACATTACATTACATTACATTACATTACAGTACAGTACTCTACATTACAGTACACTACATTTGCATTACATTACATCATGTTATATTACATTGCATTACACTACGTTCTATTATATTCTATTCCCTAAACCCTAAACCCTAAACCCTAAACCCTAAACCCTAAGCCCTAAACCCTAAACCTTTATTAGCTGCAGCTGAGATTTCGATCTCAGGCTCTGGATCCCCAAACTGTGACGCTTGTCTTAGGCGAGAGCTGACGCATGCCATAGATCCCACCTGCAGGACATCGGGGAAGGGGTTTCGGGTTTAGGGTCTAGGGCTTTATGGTGTGGAGGTTTGGGGGTTTGGGGTTTAGGGTGTGGGGTTTAGGGGTTTTAGGGTTTAGGGATGGCATGAAATCCTGGGGTTCACTCAACAGCACAGGCCCCGCGCACTCAAGGCTTGCACTCTTAGCTGCTTTATGGTTAGGTTGTCGAAGCTGTCATGATTGAGTCCCTCCTTGCCTGAGCCTCAGCCTCAGCAGGAGTTCGACCCGATTTCACCCCGCGTCGACCCCGTCTCGAAAGGGACAGGAAACCCTTGTAGAGAACCCTTGGAGGTAAATGCCCCTGTAAGGGTAGCTCTGGTCGGTGGAGGCAGCACCTTTCCTGATTGCTGCGCCCTCATCCAGACTTGTACTTCGAGTTAGGTTTGAATCCGGACATCCCTCTCCAAACATAGAGTATAGCACAGCATGCATGCAGCATGCGCTGCATACAATGCCAACATATAAGCCTACATGCATATATGTGCATATACACACATGCAACTGATTAGACACATACATTACCTTAAGTTACATTACATTACATTACATTACATTACATTACATTACATTGCCTTACATTACATACTATATCTAATATATTATGTGTATGAAACCTGCAAAGGAAAGTATTTGTCCGTACATCTATTCTGCACACCTACCTATCTATCTATCTATCCATCTATCTGTCTATGTACCTATCTGTTTATGTATGTACGTATCTATCTATCTATATTCATTTTTAAGGATACATCTGTATATATGTACACGCTGTAGAAAAGGTTGTCGGTATTTGGACTTGTTGCTGTCACGATTACTGGCATTGAATGCTTCATGCATGCGCACACTTGTGCATGTAATTGCTTCCTTGTCCTAACCCTTCAGCTATAGGAGACTTACACCATATAAACTAGGGCGTTTAGTTCTACCTCCGAAACACTGCCACACATGATCCTACTTCATATACGCATAGCTGAGCGAATCACCAGGGGCTGCCTGAACCCACGAGGCGGTTATCCGCGATGAAATCTGCACAGTATGTGTGTAGATACATGAACATTTGAATACACACACACGCACACGCATTTCTGAACAAATATATACATAAACAAACACATAATTGAATATACATATACATAAATATAATATTCGAGAGAGAGAGAGAGACAGAGAGACAGAGAGAGAGAGAGAGAGAAACCCAAAATAACTAACATTCAAGATTAAAACCCATTGAGTCTTGGGGTTTGGGCATGCACTGCCGCATGAGCCCCTGAGCGGAAAGAACACGCTCTGACCCCTATACATCCTTGCATTAACAATCTGTCGGTGGCATAGCTACAGCAATTATGGCATAGCTACAGCAAGTATGGCAGGATGCACCGAGTAGGAACAGGCTCTGCGCGACCGTGAGGCTGCTGACATCTTTAGAGGTGATCGGTTTGGGGTTTAGGGTTTAGGATCAACAGCATCATCGAAGGCGCAGGTAGAGTCTAGTAGAGGTAACCCTACAATGCAATACTGATATGCAGACGCATAGTGCCGTAGCGCCACGCATCACTAGTATGAACTGAAAAAACGAACGACAGCAAGATAGCAACAGCAGTTAATGTAAAGTGAAGATGGCACTTCCCATGATGCTACTTAGCAAGTAACAAAGAACGGTACAACCCTTACACTACCAAGCCGTTTGGAGACCTGCGGCCTGTTCATAGTCCACTGCCTTGCTGGCGGCTTGAGTGCCGAAGAAGATCTGCTGCAAGGAGATGAGGCGGCTTCGGATGTTCGCGCTGAGGTGCAGCAGGGCACTCTTCACCTTTGATTGGGAGACCAGAGGCGCTTTCAAGACTGTAGATGGATTCCAAAGTCTGCTCGATTCTGGGAACCCTATTCATCCCTACTAAACGCCGTTTAAGAACCCCTAATGGATCGTCCTGAAATCAAAAGAATGTTCTCATACCACTGTCGGAGAGTCGTAAGCTACATAAACCTATTTTGCTAGATGATGGTACAGGTGAAAATCACTTAGTAGGTTGCGGACTCGTGCGCAAACAGTGCAGACACATAGATCATCTTGCAGCTATGTCGCAGAGCGGAATATTCGCCGCAGAGGTGTTTCTACCTGTTCGGAGTCTGCATGCCTCTTGCGCACCTTCATGTAGCCCACGACCAAGATCGCGAGCAAGAACTGCTGAAAGATTAGGAAGAAGAAGTGGAAGAAGAGGAAATAAGCATCGCCGAAGTCCCCACCTGCTGAGATGATGGTTGGGTAGTTGGACTTTCCCCGTATCATCTCCACCACCGTGAGGATGCTGTGTGGCATAGAGCCAAATTCCCCAACCTTGGTGCTCGGGGCTGTTCAGACGCGGGTCCTTCGAAAACTGCTCAAACCGCACGCAAGTTACGACGGCTGCTCGCATAGAGAACAACTAAAGAACTATATCCAAACTAAGATCAATCACCGAAAGTGTGTGGAATGGTGATGACAACGGCGAGTTCGATGATAGCAAGCAATGGTGAACTGGGTGAAGGTACTGTGTGATGACGGAGGTGATGATGATGTTGGTGATACGATTACTGCTGACGATCTTGTTGATGCCGATAAATCTCAACTTGAGATGAGGCAGTGGGGTGACGATGACAATGATATCGAGCCGCGGCTCCCGTTATTCGTGATGATGAAGTTGATGACGGTGGGAGGCTGGTGGGGACACCGGGAAAGACTGGAGAAACCCACACGAGAATCAATATGAATGTCAGGATGATAGCAACGATGCCGATGACAGCAACCAGGCGCAGCCATCTGGTGGCATCCAAGTTTCGAGTACCCGCTGACAATTAACGCCTACAAAAGAAGAACCACTATTGAAAGGCCGCTCGAGGAAGGACCCCCTCCAAGGACTTCTCAGAACAGTGGAGGAACTGTGATGACCTTTAAAGCGGCTTTGCCAGCTGAGGCGCTCTCACAACCCTCAACTTTACCCACAGTCTCCATTTATATGTTAAGGATTCTATAATCTTAGTTGCTGAGTTCATAAGCCCAGAAAAGTGTAAACTTTCAGTGTAAACTTTCAGTTTTATAGGTAATATAATCCCAAAAAGTGTAAGGTGTATCCACTCAGCTACTGAGATAAGGTATCCCCCAAAAGGAACTACAATGGAAACTATAGGTAGCCCCAATTTGAAGCCCTAAACCCTTCAAAGCGCACAGGTTTTCCCAAACCTCAAAGGATCCGCCATGACACCTTCCAGCCCAGGGCAAACATGCCCCCCAAGCCGAAGCCAAGAACCATGATAAAGAAGGCCACGATGAAGGCGGCCAAGTGTTCCTGTGGCTTCTTGCGTGGCCGTCTCTTCTGGGTAGGGATGATGACTCTTGCGGGGTTTGAGAAACCCTAAGCCCTAAATCCCAAACCCTAAACCCTAAACTCTAAACCCCAAACCCTAAACAGGCTAGAACGGCATCATCCCTAAACCCTAAACCCTTCCGAATCATGCCCGCAAAAAGGCGCGGATTGGCCTACAAGTACCAGCTGAACATCGGTGGCCTAAAGCTTCATGTACCTTTATGCGAGTTTCCAAAAATTAGGGTACCTTATTTTGGGGTCCTTATCATAAGGGTCCTACTATTTAGGTCACTATATTAGGGTCCCCTATTTTCGGAAACTCCCATATAGTATGTACGCTGACGCTCAAATCACCAGATACTAAGTTAAGCATAAAGATCCGTCGACCCGGTTAAGGGTTTAGGGGTTTAGGGTTTAGGGTTTAGGGTTTAGGGTTTAGGGTTTAGGGTTTAGGGGTTTAGGGATTTCTGAAAGATCACGGCAAAAGCTCGACGATCGGAGAACTCCATCGTGGAATGCGGGCTGCTGCAAGAGTTGACTTTGGGGCTGGGGGCTTGGGAACTAAACCCTAAACTCTAACTTTGAGCTCACATTTCCCTAAAGCCCAAACCCTTAACTTTGGGCCTTAAAAAGCTAAGCCGCAACTTCGAGTTCAGATTTTGCTTGGGGCCGCGGGCTCTTCGAACAACGTTCGTCGGATCCCGAACTTTTCAACCCCTCAGACCTATGTAAACCCTGAACCCCTACACCCTGAGACCCCAACCCCCCAAAACCCTAAATCCCGAACTTAAACACCGAGCTAGTTAAGAAGGTTCCAACCCCAGAAACCCTAAATCCTAAACTTAAATCCTAAACTTAAACCCCGGGCTAGTTAAGAAGGTTCCAACCCCATAAACCCTAAATCCTAAACTTAAACTCCGGGCTAGTTAAGAAGGTTCCAACCTCATAAACCCTCAATCCTAAACTTAAATCCTAAACTTAAACCCCGGGCTGGTTAAGAAGGTTCCAACCCCATAAACCCTAAATCCTAAACCCTAAATCCTAAACTTAAACCCCGGGCTGGTTACCTGGTTAAGAAGGTTCCAACCCCATAAACCCTAAATCCTAAACCCTAAATCCTGAACTTAAACCCCGGGCTGGTTATGAAGGTTCGTGCCTTCACGACGCCCATCGAGTGCACCAAGAGCTGCAACTGCGGAAGGACTGCGCAGCACTCTGCGATCGCCTGCATCAGGCCGGTGCCGCCAACGAATCCCCGAGCCCCAAGGGTTTAGTTTAGGGTTTAGGGTTTAGGGTTTAGGGTTTAGGGTTTAGGGTGTTTTTTTTTAAAAAAAGGAGCCTTAATATTAATTACCCATACTATTCTAGAGGTTCCTTGTAAGAATTATGGTAACATGGGCTCCAAAACACGATTCTAACTATTAAGGCCCCTATGTTAGGTTCAAGAGTTTAGGGCTTTCGGGATTTCGGGATGCTTCAGCGTTGAGGGTCTAGGGATTAGGTCAAAGCAAAACACACTTCAAGGTGTTCCCTTCGGGGTTTGGCAAACAACCGGCCGTGATGTTGCTGCGGACCGCTATATGCACCGTTTGTCGCACAGGGACATCGAGTCTAATTGCGGTTCTTTTGGGTACGCTCTGCTGTTTCAGCTGTGGTCTACAATTTCACTGGTCCAAAATAGCCCCAAATGGCCGAAAGCTCAGCTCCCATATTCTTGTTCGCAAGAAACGCATTCCCCGAATGGTCTCTGCTCTGCAAGGATCCTTAGAACAACCCTCCTGTCGTGTTCCAGGTCGAGGACATGGAGTTCACGCTTCCCTGCAATTAGGGCCTAGGGTTTAGGGCTTAGGGTTTAGGGTTTAGGGGTTAGGGTTTAGGGTTCCAGGTCGAGGACATGGAGTTCACGCTTCCCTGCAAGCACCTGAACAAAATCCTACCCTAAACCCTAAACCCTGAACCCTAAACCCTAACCCCCTTAGGCCCTAAGCCCTTAACCCAAAGCCATCAACTGCCAATCTGCCCTGAAGCGTCTGCCCTAGACTTTGTACCCTAGGTTTAGGGTCTGGGGTTTAGGGGTTTTGGGGTTCATGGTTTGGGGTTTCGGGTTTTGGGGTCCTGTGTTTAGGGTTTTGGGGTTTAGGGTCTTGGGGTTTAGGCCTTCAGGGTTTCCCCAAACCTCCTTTCCGAAACAAGACCCCTCTGAAATTCACGCTAAACCCCTAAACCCTCCTAAATCAAAAGCCGTGAAACCCACGAGCGCCTGAACGAAAAGCAGACACGTGGTGACGGACACCGCCACCTTGAGATCTTCGTTGTTCATCGTCAGCTCCTTTGAGGTTGCGAGTTTAGGGGTTTCGAGGGTTTGCGGTTCAGGGTGCCCTAAACCCCAAACACAGGGTCTGCTGCGGGCGAAGGCCAGTGCCAGTCGTGGTCTGATTCCTTTCCCATTAGAAGGGATACTATAGGCCTCATTATAAGGGTTCGCCAGTGCTACTAATGCTACTATGAGGGTTGCTGTAAATTTTCTAAACGGGCTACGGCCAATAAGACCAGCACAAATCGAACTCTCCTGTTCAAAAACGAAACCCAAGCCCGAAACACCAACTGCAAACCCATGACCCCTCAACCGGACATCATTCGGGCTTAGGGTTTAGGGTTTGGGGTTTAGGGTTTCTACATCCGAAACTGTGAATCCACATGCCTGCGCCCCAAACCTCCCAAGCCCTAAGGCACCCAAAACTCTTAAAGCCTCAATCCCCAAGGCCTAAACTGGGCCTAGGCCTTACAAGCGCTTAACAACAATCCACGAACCCTGAAACACCAAACGGTAAAACCTCCAAGCCCCCTTCCGAGGTATCCCTCGCATGGTTGAGATGAGGGTCTGCCACTTCTTGAAAGTCGGATGGCTTCATTGGCAGTCGGAAGTTCCTGGTCACCCATCTATGCCCTACACCCTCAACCCCAAAACCTAACTAAAACCCACCGCCCCCAAACCGTTAACCCTAAACCCTGAACCCCCAAACCCTAAATACCCCTAAATACCCCTAAATATCCCTAAGTACCCCTAAGTACCCCTAAGTACCCCTAAATACCCCTAAACCCCGGTGCAAACTCTGAGCTGCCTTATCTTCTGAAGCTTCCAAAATTAGGGTTTAGAGCTTCAAGGTTTCGGGTTTTTAGGGTTTAGGGCTTTGGGGTTTAGGGTTTATAGGGCTTTAGGGTTTCGGGTTTATAGGGCTTTAGGGCTTTAGGGTTTCGGGTTTATAGGGCTTTAGGGCTTAGGATTTAGGGTTCAGGGTTCAGGGCTTTAGGGTTTTAGGGCTTAGGGTTTAGGGTTTGTAGGGCTTTGGGGTTCAGGCTTTAGGGTTTAGGGTTTATAGAGCTTTATGGCTTAGGGCTTTAGGGTTTTCGGGCTTAGGGTTTAGGGTTTATAGGGCTTTGGGGTTTAGGGTTTTAGGGCTTTGGGTTTAGGGTTTTAGGGCTTAGGGTTTAGGGTGTTAGGGCTTTAGGGTTTAGGGCTTTAGGGTTTAGGGCTTAGGGTTTAGGGTTTATAGGGCTTTGTGAGGGACCATACAGTAAGGGCTGTATTAAAGGGCACTTGGCGGGGTCCTGGTCCCCCTAAACCCTAAAACCCTAAAGCCCTTAACCCTAAGCCCGAAAACCCTAAAGCCCGAAAACCCTAAAGACCTAAACCCTAAAACCCGAAACCCTAAGCCCTAAACCCGAAACCCTAAGCCCTAAAACCCTAAACCCGGGAGGCCTTGGGACTCTGGCAACAAAACCCAGACAGCAGACGTTCGTTTGGACCGCGAGAAAAGTTTGAAAAAAATGGCTTATGCCAAAACTGCACATTCGGTGCATTGCAGGCCTGGAGCTTGCATTTTCTGTTGCAGTTCCCATTGAAGACCGAGACACAAGCGACCAAAGCGCAGAAGCAGCCATTTTGACACCGCGAGAAAAGTTTGAAAAAAATG